AATAGATTCCACTTGGATGCGTTCTTCGGCAATATGATCCCTGATGAAATGGTGTTTAACATCAATGTGTTTTCTTCGTTTTGTCTCCAAGTTATTCGCCATTCCAATACAGCCTCTGTCGTCCTCGAATATGGTGACAGGTTTTTTCGGATCCTTGGCCTTCATATCTTCAAGTACTCCAGATAACCACAGGGATTCTGCTGTAGCGGCGCTCAGAGCTACATACTCGGATTCACTTGACGAAATAGCAACTGTAGTTTGCTTCTTGCTGCACCATGATACCGTTGATCCAAACACCTTAAATACGTATCCCGTGACTGATTTTCGATCTTCATTGTCGGCCGCCCAGTCAGCATCAGCAAATCCAACGAGCGGACGGTCGTCATTGCGTTCGAACTTCAATACAGCACTGGCACTTCCCTTCAGGTAACGAACGATTCGCTTCAAGCACTGCCAGTGTGTTTCTGTTGGTTTTTGCTGGTAGCGCCCCAGATACCCTACTGGAAAACAGATATCCGGCCGAACGCACAGCATAATATACATTAAACTGCCTAGTAGCTCCCTGTAGGGTTCTTCAGTTGACGTCCCCTCTCGTTGCAATTGCAGTCCCTTCTCCATTGGTGACTTAGCTGGATTGCATTCAGCCAGTCCAAAACGCTCCAAGACTCTTACGAAAGTTGAAGAACTCCTGTTTGCCAATCGTACGCTATCTTCATTCCCAGAAAGTGGCGTGCTTCTCCACAGTCAGTCATGCTGAACACAGTCGAAAGCTTCTCCTTCATACGTGCGATGGATTCCAATTTCCTCCCTCCGATTAGCAAATCGTTCACATAGAGTACGTCTCCTTCTTCGCATCGTGTGTATAGGCAGTAGTCATGGCGGGACCGCTTGAAATCCATTTTGACTAGTTCACTGTTGAATTTTTCATTCCAGCATCGTGAAGATTGCTTCAATCCATACAATGATTTCAGCAACTTGCAGGTCATATTTGCTGGAGAATACTGCCAAATCATTCACTAGGTGATCGCTTGAGCCCGAATCGAGCTTGAATACCACCTTTCCACTTGGTGCCTTTTCAATCTTGCGACTTGCAATGAAACTTACTGCATTCCGTTGATCTGCCGAATTAGCTTTACCGCTTTTCTGCCGACAGTCCTTCTTCAAATGGCCACGTTTTCCACAATTGTGACACTTGCCTTGGAACTTTGTAGACTTGCGTTTCTTCTCTCCAGAAAATGCCGCAACCTTGATCTCACCTGAGTCTTCGTGACGTTCGGTTCTCTTCAGCTATTCCGCCAATAAGTGTTGCTTCACGATCTCCAAACTCAACTCTTCCTCAGGAATGTTTTCCAAGGCCGTCACCAAGGGGTCATACGCATCCGGTAGAGTCTGGAACAGCGAAATGACCAAATCAGCTTCCTCGACCTTCGCCCCAGCGGTTTTCAGCTGCCGGATCAAGTCTTCGAACACCAGCAAGTGCGCTCTCATCGAATCACCATCTCTCAACTTAAGACGATTCAACTGCTTTCTCACCAGGTTTTGAGTGCTAATTGACCGCTTCGCAAAGGTGTTCTCGAGCGCCTTCCACATGTCCTTGTCCGTCTTCTTCTGGCAGACGATCGCCAGACATTCATTCGCCAGGAAGCTGACAATATATGACTTGGCCTTCAGGTCTGCCTCTTCAAATTTCACCTTTTCAGCTGCTACGGCCGATGCTTCTTCAGTTAAAGTGTTCAATACTCCCACGGAATCCAGGAACATCTTGACTCTGAAGCTCCAGTGCTGAAATCCGGAACCACCGTTGAACTCCGGAATACCGCACACAACTTCTCTCGTAGAGGTGCCCATAACCTTTTATGAGTGAAAGCAGAGCTCTTCCAATTAACGTGTGGTTTATTTAAAGGACAGTTTGATAATGGAACAGAAAAATGAAAAGTCAAATAAGTCAAATAACGATTGCTTCTGGCTTCCAGGTTCCTTCGATACCAATTGTAAATATCTGGGAAAACTTCGTAACAGCGAGGATTTATCAACACTTTGGGGAACTTTAAACAAGCTAAACGAACTTTGATTAATTTCAATGAATTTCATAAAAGTTCGGGGACCTTCTTTTAACTTCATGGTACTTCGTTTAAGTTTAATACGTCAGGTGATGAACTAGGTCAGGAATTCTATTGGAGTTCAGGAAACTTCGTAGAACTTTGCAGCAATCAGGGAACTTTATTGGAGGGCAAAAACTTCATAGTAGTTTTGTAAATTTTCAAGCTTAACGAAATACGTATCCGGGAACTTCCTAGTAGTTCGTCAAAGATCTTACTTCTAAAAAGTTAATAGTTGTGTGCAATGCACGACCGCATTGTGGACGCAAGACTAAGAGATTATTTTTGCTGCTCCATTCAATAATATATGAATATCAAAATAAATGGTTTAGAAATCAACTCCAAAATGATTAATTCATTATTCAAACTTTTCAAATTGGGCGGTTATTGAATCAGTCCAAAAATAAAGTTTCAATTTTTGAAATTATAAAATCAGTTCCTTTATTATTCATAATTAGGTTCCAAACATGTTTACCCAACAAACTTACTACTGTTAGTCGTGGAAAAACAACTTTAGAAATCAAAGTGCAACTGACATTACAAATCTTTATGTTTCAGAGTTATGACAGCCGACGCCGGTGGTGTAGGGGTGTGCGTGTCTGCCTCTCACTCCATAGGGAATGGGTTCAATCCCAGTCGGTGCCATCGGGATTTTCTGAGGCATAAAATCTCTGATCATACCTTCACGTAATTTGGAAAAAAATTACACTCTCTGAATCTTATATCGCAAAGGCGCATCAGGATGTATTGGTAAAATAAACACCGCATAATCAATATTGCATCAACCGAAATCAATAGGCTTATTCAGCATACCACCAATGTAGAGGGCACCACGTGAGGTCGAGAAGAAACGTCAACCAAACCGTATGTTAACATCAGAATGAGGATTTAACACAACGAAAATTAAAGAATTTTCAATTCAACATCTAGTGAATTTCCATCAGTAAACGTCTTATTTTATGATTTTCCACAAATCTGGACTGATTCGTAACTCAACTATTCACTCACAAGAAATCCCGAGGAACATAACCACTAATAAACTATTCGAAGTTTTCAATGATGAAGTGAGGAATAGTGAAAAAGTGTTCTCCTCCCTATGTCTCACGGCAAAAATGTCTGCTAAAAACACTATTTTTGACCACCAGTGGTTGAATCGATTGCTTAGTTTCTATTAAAAAGGCGTATTATTGTTTGTTATGTTTATGTTTTCTAAAATACTATAGCGCAAAGGTGACGCAACACCAGCATACGTTTACTTTTATGATTTCTCTTTCAGTTGACAAACGGATTATTCTAGGAATAGCTTGAATCAGTGGATATTCTACTTCTAATCAAGATAATGCTTATGCAATATTACATACATAATCAACAATTGGTTTACCATGGTTTAGAGTATCATAACAAAATTCACCGAACCTAACCAAACTAGTTTATTAAAACCGTTAAATTTGCTTACTGTTATATATATATACTTGGTTGATGTTATAAAGACTGTTGCTTAATGCAATAATTTCTTCAGATTAACAGCCTACACTTGACTGTTCAAATACAACCTAAATTGATAATTTGATTTAGATATAATTATTGTTAGGTTTCAGAAACATTCCATCCTGCACATGAACGTCTTATGTTTTTCTTTTTTATTTTCCTATACATACATGTCTTTACTAATCATAAAGGATTCGGGCGTCCCACTTGTGCATCTAATCAACCCGTTTTTGGCCCTTCATACAGCGACATGCTGACAATTAGGATTAAAAGATTTTTCAAAAGTCGCGACCGTCATACATTGTTTTATTTTAGTAAACAAAACGGCCAACAGACAAGCAGAAGCAATTTTTAAATGAGGCATAACTGCATTATTGTACATTTCTCATACAACATTCATATTTCATAATGCACCAAATAACGAACAATGCTGGGAAGAGGAGGAATCATCAGAGCACCCGATTGAAGCGATTTAGACGGTGAGAGTGGGAATACCAACTCCCTGTTGATAACATTTCGTGGATAAAGAGCGGGCTCTTCTCCCCACTCATTGGGACATCTTCCTGTTTGGGAGCTCGTCTTTTTGACAAATTGTGCGTTGCTGGAAGGAGATTATTTACTGTCCGGCGACTTTGCCTATCGATCCACATTCATGCCATATGTTATGCGTGTGCGGTTTATGTGTGAACTCATGAATATTATGCGTAATTTTACATAGAAATTTACTAATAGTTTGAAAACTATTGACTGAAAAGGATAATAACTCAAGGATAATAATTATGGGGTACAGGAAAATGCACACGGTGAATTTTCACGCAGTAAATATCAAAAGAATCTAGAAAGAATAGTTGATTAATTGAAAATAATAAGACTTTCGGCACCGCAATGTTTTTTTTTTTATTGTACGGTTAAGCCGTACTTTACCCCCTTCAAAAATTACAAAATATTGAAAGGGAAAACCTCGGGGAAAACAAATCAGACATATTGAGACGCTTCTTCCCAAAACTACACATTTTATTTTGTTTAACTTTTTTGATTTACGGTTTAGCGACTTTTCAGTATATTTAATAGTTTATGAGAAAGTTTGAACATACTGAAAGGTAAGGAAGCTTAGCCTATAGAATAAAGCAAACGAGAATTCAAACTTACCTACTAGCCCCAATAAAAAATAAAGCTGGCATTCTTGTCACATCCCCCAGCCGAAGAATTCATTTTAAGCCTACACACACGCGATTATCAAGATGAACTCCAGGCATTTCGCATCGATGACCAGCGACAACCCCTGCGTCACACCAGTATGCTATTAACGGAACAATGACGTACCGCCTTCCTTCTTCCGAAATAGCCCATTGTAGGCCGAAATTGGTCCTCTCTGCTCAATTATTAGTGACACTTCGTACCATCTACCCCACATACGCGTGTCGACGGCATCGGGTGGAACGCGGTGGCACATTCATTCATGATATTCGTGAATGCACATGTTGCGCGCTCGCGCTCACGTCAACATCTATATAGACAAGCATCCAGCTTAGGTCCGAACTGAGTCTTGTTCCATCCTAGAACCGGTGCAGACGTGTGTGCAGTGCAATATTGGTGCCGATTTTGTGTCGATTATGATAGTGATGAAGAGTGGAAGCGAAAATTTCGGTGCATGTGATTCATCGTCCTCGTCGCCAGTTGAAAATTAGAACGTTCGGGTAAATCCACGTGGATCGTTGTTGTGTGGGCACTTGCGTTAAACGAAGGTCAAGGTTTTTCAGATCCCGGAGACATTGGTTTATCTTATCTGTCGAGGCAAGTTATTTCACCGGATTGTGTCCGTTCTCATGAGCCTTCACCACTGTCCAGCTCTTCTTGTCGACAGGGAGATAAATCACTGGCTTCCGGTGATCGGTCATCGAAGGAGCCCTTGAACGCGAAAATCAGTAAAAAAGTATGTGAACAAGTCTAAGTGGGCGCTGATTACGACAAATGGTGAAATAGGCATACTGTGACCTTTCTAGTTGTAAGCAAACAAAGCCAGTGGGTAGTTTTCAATCCGCGAGTGATTCACGTCAATTTCTTCGAATCCATCAGAGCTAACTTACGATTACTGTTAGCCGTTAAAAACCATGAATCATCCTCCACCGCACATAACCGATGGGGATTTCGTCAGCCCAATGGAATACGATGATGATAAACACGGTCGTATGACGCATCAACTGATGGGCTGCTACACTGCATTCGCACTGAAACTCCTATTTGGCGTCTTGCTGTTATCTCGCGACTTGATCCATATCGCTCATTTGTCGCAAACAGCTAACTTTCTCGCCTACTGTGAACGCCGATTGATTGTCAAGAGTTGTCGTAGTTTACGGAACCGAATCGACCGCCGATACCAGCACCAATGGATTTCGTCGTCGTCGAACGAGAGCAAACAATAAATAATACTGCTCACTCATGGACTTATTTCGCCGAATTGCATCATTCAACGTGCGCGCGAATGACGTCAATTCGTCGTCGTGGACAGGGAAGCCATAAGCTAATCACTACAAAGGGCAGTTGGGGATTTCCGCTGGAAACTGCGAAGAACACTGCATGTGTACTTTGCACATTTCTCGAAAGATCGTGGGGTTTTTGTTATCATCTGCGAATAGTAAACTGGTTATAGTTGCATGCCAAACCAGAAACTGCTGCATCAACTGGGATTTCCAATGACGTATTCGTCATGGTTGTGGAATTTCCGGAATTTTGTACCCGGCGATGTCGAAATTCTTCGTAGCTAGCAATTTGTAGCAGCCACAACTAAAACGAAAACAATGAAACCACATCAAAGCAACCAAAGACAATAAGAAATGTAATATAAATTTGCGAAAACAACATCAACAACAAGAGCAATCCACAATAAAACAGGACAGGCACGGACACGTTTACAACCTGCAAGTCATTCCATAATAGCGGAGAGAAAATTACCCTTCCAACCTTTTCTTCCAATCTACTCCATTGGGCCGCGATGGGCAGACAGACAAACAGAGAGAAAATCCCCGAATAGTGAACTCGTTGGTTTTGATGACAATGAACCAATAAACGAACGGTGTAATGCGTAATCATGTTTACGCTTGTATGGGTGTGCGGTGTCAGGATGAACGTTTCCGATGAAGGGAGTGTTCATTTATAGTAGGGTGGTAGACTTAAGTGGACCCTACACGATAGGTTTTATAGACAATAATCGTATTGTCAGCACAATCTATATTGACGTTAATACATCGATATTGGCAATATTTCTGTATTCAGATCATCAATAATATTGTGAATAATTCTCCTTCACGTCAATATATTGATACGTGTGGGGTTCGCTTAAAGGCAGACGATTCAAGTGAGTTTCAATATTTTCTACTGGCCAAGTGGAAAACAGTGAACACCTTTTCATTGATAGAATTTCGGTTTTGAACAGAAAAACTGGTTTTAAATTTGATTGAAATCTTTTTCGTTCCCTTTCCCCTTAGCTCATCATCGATCTCGATCTGATAGTCGATATTCAAATGACTGGAAATCAAACTACAAAAAGTTGGAATGTACAATTAAGCCTTTACAATTTAAATCGATGATTCATTTCCTGTTGTTGCGGATTCCAGAGTGCAAAAGCGTAACTCAACAAATGCCGTTTGGTAAATTGCAGCCAGGATTGCATCAAGCTCAGAAAACGAGATCATATATTAAACATTTCAATTTAATTTTGCAGCGTTTGGTGAGGCAATGGGAGCGCAAGTCAATCCAAAGCCGAGGATAAAGGAAGAGTAATGGCTGAATAGTCTATGCGGACCACTTGAACGCCATGTGAAAAGGAAGGGATTGAAGAGGTCGGTTATTGGGGGGTTTTGAGAAAATGACACATAGTACTAGATTTTTGCTGTAAAATGTAAAGAAACCGAAAATCCATCTCCCACTGATTAATCATTTCACATATATATCAAATTGATATTTTAAAGCAACCATCAAAATAAACAGACAATATATGAAAAAGCGAGTTGCCAATTGATTTAAAGGGTAGTTGCCTTCCTAAGCAGACCCCTCGCATCCTAACCCTTTTGTTAATCTACTTAATGTTATTAGGCTCTCTAAAAATTTTTTATTCAAGTTCGTTTGATGATTATTATATCTCATTTAATAAATAATTGAAATCTCTAATCTACCTAATCAATTATAACCCATGCTTTATTAAGTACCTGCACTTGTGCATGTAATCTAAAATTTAACGTCGATTAAATTGTTTTTGACTTTGACCTATATTTATAATATATTGGTTCGACCCAGGTGACACCTTCAAGTGACTAAAATGCTTCACTTTGAGGTTAGTTTCCTAGCTAATTTTTAAATTATATAGGGTATGTGCTCCAACTACGCTTACACGTTTCCACTATGTCGTCCCACAAAATTACGTATAGATATGTCACAATAGAAGCACGCCACAGTGGAAATCCCGAGCCATAGTACAAACATTTATTCTAAACCAAAATGAAGCATATATAAGATTAGTTACAATACCATGTACAAAAATGGTGTTTAATATTGTTCCCTGAGTAATACTTCAATGAAAACAACAATGAAAGCTTGTCACGCAAGTAGAAGGAGCACTGTTGGGCACTTTCTGAAAAATTTCAATAGTATAATTCCCTTGCAAACCCAAATAAATCTATCTGCGTAAAAATAAATAAAATAAGAGTGATTTTCGGGAAAACCCGCCAGTATCGCCCCCAACGTAAGCGTACTATAACACGGCTCTCAAACAAAGGAGTAACAAGTGTGATACTATCACTGCTAGACTATATCTTTAGCTCTCTCATGCAATGGTTCATCACAGAGGGGAAGCTTAGTAATCACCATCGCCTGCTCATGACGCTATTCTGCCACGGCATGAGCCAACGATGCCGGACCTAAACCAACCGTCTCCAACGCTCCACTATAAAGCATAAGGTTAGGCCCGCCCACCAATGTTCAGGTTAAAAACTAGCCAAGGGAGGGTACGAGATCATAAATTAAACAATGAGATTTAAAAAAAAACATATCTATTGAAGAAAATGTGAGTGAATGTCCAAAGTGAATGTCGTTTTACTTGAAACGCTAAAACTACCACCCCTATTCTGTATTTCGTTTCGAACGAAATTCTCATACAAAAAAATATTTTTTTGTATGAGAATTTCGTTCGAAACGAAATACAGAATAGGGGTGTACGTATGCAGATCGAACTAACTCACATTCAACTATTATCCAGTAGAGGCACATAGGGCCAACCTGAACTACTTCGATCCTGACTGGCTACTTGCTAGCGGAAATTCATAATTTCTCGCTTCACTTCGATCTGTATTTGCCTTAATCGGCAAATTGTCTTTTGATTATTGTAAATTAATTTTAAATTCTATGTTTTATAGGGCTTCGGGTACAAGAGTAAATCCCAGACACTGAGTGAGGTTTTGGAAATTTTCTCACTCTTCCTAAAGAGTTATCACTTTATTCGAACATGGAGCATAAGGCTAGCCTTTTCTAAGGCCTTAAGGTTGTTAAGTTCATTAGATTTGAAGTGAAATAAATAAAAATCATTAGAAATCTCGTTGCCCGAATTTCCAGGACGGGATTTAATTTTCATTTTGATTGCTTAAACTAGCTCAGCTCCTAGTGATTTTGTCAATTCATCTTTGATGTGATCCAGTGATTCACCACGTAAGATACTTGAGAAGACGGTTGAATCTGTCGAAGATTTCAGCAAATATATTATATTAAAAATATGATCCACTCTTTCGCTTAGCTGGCGAACCGAATGTTAAGCGACGAAAGCACCTCTGTGGCCAAAAAGGCTACCAATGTATTTGTTTATCGTCACGAGGGGTAAACCAAATGAAAATTTGTTTAATATTTCAAATGAATGTATTTCAGCATTTTATTTTATTTGATGACTACAGTGACATGTCAGACAAATTTTAAAGTAATATACACAATGTAATTAATGAAAATAATTTGACTCTTACTTTTGTAATAAGTGATATATTCGCACCCCTCGATTGTAATTGAATGATTGTTGCTGACCTTTTTCAACGCTAGATGGTGCGTGAAGCAATATTTTGAGGGTCGCCATTGCACCATTTGGAAAAGGCATGAATGGATCATATTTTTAATATGATATATTTAATTTCAGCCAAAACACGACATTCACCTCGATGGCCAATTTTAAGAGAAAATGTGAATTTAACGAAGTTCAAAAAATCCGAACAAAGAGCATGCCCGAAAAAAAAATTACAATAAAACAATGAAATTACAATGATTTTTACTGTTAAGCTGTTAGACTTGTGAAGCTCACTAGACTTGAAATGAACTAAATAAAAATAATCAGAAATCTCGTTGCCCAAATCGCCACGACGAGATTTCATTTTCATTTTGATTGCTTGAACTGGCTCAGCTCCTAGTAATTTTGTCAATTCATCTTTGATGTGATCCAGGGATTTACCACGTAAGAAACTTGAGAAGACGTTTGAATCCGTCCAAGATTTCAGCCAATACACGTCATTTACCTCGACGGCCAATTTTAAGTGAAAACATGAATGTAACCAAGTTCAAAAAATCCGTGCAAAGAGCATGCTCGAAAAAAAAAATTATAACAAACAATGAAATTACAATGATTTTACTGTTGAATTTCAGACACATTAAAAGTTATTGTTAAATTGTTGTACGGGAGTAAAAGTAATTTCTATTTTTTAACGATGCAATGCTCAAACCATGAAAATTCGTCTGATGAGATCAAATTTGTCGGAGATGAACTAGCGTACGACTAAAATTCTCCTAAATAAAGCACAAAAAAAAAGATGACTAACAACCACGCCCACCCACCACCCCCTTTTTTACTGTATTTTCATTGTTATGAACCATGAATTTCGTTGTGATTGTATGGTAATCGACAAAAATGTCCAATGTTTTGACATTAAATATCATGGTTACAATGACAATGAAAACCATTGTACTTTTATTGGATTTATTTTTTACCGGTGGATTTGAAAGTGCTTATCACAATATGGGGACCTTTTTTTCTTGGAATTAAGCCGGGAATGTTTATTCTCATTCTCATCATCCGTGAGCATATCAAATCGATTGCTCAAATGAATTCCATCCTTGTTGTCCTTTTCGTTTGCCTATAGGCACCATGGCGGCAGAAGAAAGTTTCTCCAAATCAACTTCCAAGCAGATCAACAGATTTTAAATTGTGTTGGCAACCAACAAGGCGGGATTCATGGGTGCCCGCGCTACCACGGACCAAATTTTCGCGATTCGGCAGGTTCTGCAGAAATTCCGCGAATACAACGTGCCCACACATAATTTTTCTATTGATTTCAAATCCTCATACGACACAATCGATCGAGAACAGCTATGGCAGATTATGCACGAGTACGGATTTCCGGATAAACTGACGCGATTGGTCAAGGCGACGATGGATCGAGTGATGTGCGTTGTTCGAGTATCGGGGACACTCTCGAGTCCCTTTGAATCTCGAAAAGGGTGCAAGGTGATGGACTTTCGTGTCTGCTATTCAACATCACGTTAGAAGGTGTGATCAGAAGAGCTGGGATAGACACGAGTGGCATGATCTTCAGGAAGCACATCCAGCTTCTTGGCGTCGCCGATGACATTGACATCAAGCATTTTCAATGGCACTACGGCTTCGTTGTCCCAAGTTGCTGAAGCGGTGAGGGACACTCCCAGTGATGCTTTCAATTTTTCGATTACCTCGGTTACAGTAGACCTCGTCGAATCCGCCATCAAGAAGCTGAAATTTTCTAATGCTGCTGGCCCTGACGGGATCCCCTCAAGCATCCTGAAGCGATGCTGTTCAGAGCTTACAACACCGCTTTCGAAGCTGTTCAATATTTCATTACAGCAGGGGGAGTTCCCTACGCGTTGGAAATCGTCAT